TATCTACAGTTAAAGATTTGATTAACCCCCACAGTCACTTATAGATTATGAACACACTCTGACAAAAACGTGTTTTCATAATACTGTCTGTGTCACTTGTTGCATAAGCTATTGTCCTCCTCATTTTAATCACATTTGTATGAAGTGTGTGTGAAAAGGGGGGGGGGCTTCTTGGAGGTCTTGCCATATACACAAGGAAAAGGGAGGGATATGGGGAGGGGGGAGGGGGAGATCTTGCATATACTAAGGGGTCCGCAAGGGTCTATACTCGAAGGGGACGCCACTTGAAAAAGGTTGGACCAATGGTTTAAAGGGCGCCACTTAGCTATGTTACAGTTAGCCAGGATGGGGACTCAGCCCCATTTCCTAATTCTCTTTTGGCGAAGGTGAGGCAGCTTCTCCCTCCTCCCCCCCCCCCCTCTTTCCCCCTCAAGTCATATGTCACGGGACAGTCTAAAATCTCAGGTTATTATAAGATGGGGTTTTCCTAAAATAGACAGAGACATCCCTAGTTGGCCCGTGTTGGCGCGTGCTTCTATGCGTTGCCGTTGTCCGGTGCTTTATTAATAGCCTACCCGAAACAGGGGCAATCCACAGGTCACGGGACAGTCTAATATTTCAAGGGGTGGTAGATAGGCTGCATGCAGTATTGGGACCTAGGCTGCACTCTCGTGGGACGTAGGTGGGTTGGGGTTAGGGCCAGTTCTAGATGTTTTGGGGTCGTTAAAAGCATCAGAAAGCCGGGAAATGCAGTCTTACCACCCTCTGTCCTATGATGTCATCTGGGGGTAGGATATTATTCATTTACCCTGTTGTGAACTCCGGCTGGGTGGACGTCTCACTTTTGGCATGTTCCTTGTGTGTTCAGTCGTTCCATTTTTGACGCGGTAATTGTGTGTTTAGTCGTCATTCCCACGGTGGGTGTCTCTGTCTCTCCAGCGATTTGTGTGTGTTCGTCTTCATCGCCATGAATTGCCTGGATTTTGCAGCATCCTTGCCTGACAAGGAGTGTAGTTTCTATTTCATGCATCGTCATGGTATTCTGAATAGCAACAGACGCTGTCGCAACCAGAACAATAGTTGCCGCCATAGCAGGTGCCGCATTCCAATCTCTGTCCAGATCTACCAACGTGTGAAATTGTGATTGCCAATTCGTGCGTGAACCCGGCAGTATACATCCAGAATGATTGGCCTATTTATGGCCACCCCCACAGTACCCCAATTGGCACTCTAAACCGGATTGAACAAAAAGTTTAAAAAAAAAACAAACTGTTGTCACCTGCCAGCGACATCAGTTGTCCTGTATTCCAGACGACTTTAAAACATCCACAACTGCTGACCCTTACCCAAACCCATCTACGTCCACCAAACGACTCCGAAACATCAACCCAAAAAAACCCCACAACATCCACAACTGCTGACTCTAATTCCAACCCACCTACGGCCAGCCTAGGTCCTCATCCCCAGCAAGAAAACGTTGAAGAAAAAAACCCCCACAGAAAAACAGGTAAAAACAAACAAATAGACACCACCCACAAGTAACTTCATTCGCCCACATGCAGTTGGCAACGGCAACGCTTGGCACACGCGCCATCAGCAGCTTCAGCTTGACATTGGTAACAATCTCTCTGTCTATTTGTAGAAAACCCCATCTTACCTGAGATATGAAACTGTCCGGTCATCTATGACTTGGTGAGAGCAACAACAACAACAACAAAACTAGAAACCAGATTCCTGTGCCTGAATGTGATAAATCCTCGAGGAGCGGCTGGCCGAGCGGGTTAAGAGGGCATTATTCTCATGCTGGACACCCAGTTTTGAATCTACGGTAGGGTGTATTGTGTCACCTTGGTTCAATTTTTGACCAACAGCGATTTTTGTTTCCCCTCTTCTAACGGGTCACATCAGCAGGAAACACACATTGCAAAGACACTCAGACTGACAAGGTTTATTTCTGTTCCAAAAATTGTGTCGTTCGTCGCTGTCCTTCGCCGTCACTTGTTCATCTAGGGATATGTCACAGCTGCTAGAGCCACCATTTCTGATCTATAACGTTAGTTAAATTGTACTCTGGAAGCTACTTTTACTCTTGTATCTCGTCTCTGAGGCACAGCACAACAAGCATTCTTGGCCACTCATCGTGCAACACGGGTCATTCTTGTATCTCGTCTCTGAGGCACAGCACAACAAGCGTCCTTGGCCACTCATCGTGCAACACGGGTCATTCTTGTTTCTGTCATCTTCATTGTATTACAGGTACTTGATTTCACTGTCAGCTAACACGATTCACTCCAGCCGCTTGTTTCAGTCGTCCTAGCCTTTCTAAATCTAATTCAGGATTCCCGGCCCATATACACACTTCCTGGCTCTCCTGTCAAATCCGGACGAAGAATAAACAGCCGTGGACGAGTTAGTCAGAGTTCTCTCCCTTGGCCGCACTCCGAACAGTAATCGGAAAACAAAAGAAATAAACGACACACTTACCTATCATCCTGCGGTTGCGTGTAGGGCTGCGTACGGTTTCGTGAGGCATTGTGAATGGTTGTGTAGTCATCATCATGTGGTTGTTGGGTTAGAGTTAGGGGTAGGGTTAGGGTTAGGGGTAGGGTTAGGGTTAGGGTTAGATGTGAAAATTTTGACGTAGGATTTCGAAATACTGGCCGACAATCAGATGTTTGTGGGAGTGGCGCCACTGAAACTCTGCCAAATATGACGCCAATAGCGTGCGGCTGGTGCCCCCAATCGTTGGCGAATTGTGCGTTTGATTAGCATCCAGAGGCCCTCGATTGTTTGTGTGTGTATGGGACTGTGCGCGATTATAGGGAACTCCGGCGTCAAAATTGTCAAATATAACGCTAAACTTAACCCTACCGCTAACCCTAATCCTAATTCTACTCCCGAGCCCTAACCCCTACCCCTAACCACGCAAATTTATCGATCATTAAAGCATACAAATCGGCAAAAACCAACAAACAAAACACACCCAAAAAAAAACCAGATTTGTCCTGCAGCGTCGAAAAAACCCCAGATCTGGGGGAAACAACCAAGCATTGGCAGCCCTGATGTCGACGTCACTGTCTTCTTTGTTTCGTTGTGGCTTTTCCGATCACTGTTTGGAGTGCGGCCACGGGAGAGAACTCTGACTAAGTCGTCCAAGGCTTTTTAGTCTTCGTCCGGATTTGACAGGTGTACCCACTTCCTCAATCTGGCCTAGGTCAGAGGGGTGTCAATTTGTACTGGTTTTCTTTTTAAGAGTCTCCAATGTTACCTAGACTCAGGCTGTGAGTAGGGGATTTAGGTTACGGCCGGTTCTAGATATTCTGGTGTCGTTAAAAGCTGTGTCGTTGTGTAGAACACACGACATCGGCGCTGAGAAAACAGAACAACCTGACATCCCTCTTACAAAAAAAAAAAAAAAAAAGTATGAGAAAGCATCAATGAACGGTCAGCCAATGTGTAGATTGGCTGGGATTCGTGAATAGGATCCCCTTCTCTCTCGCTGTTAAACATCAACTGATCATTCCTATTTCCTCGCTTTGAATCCTTTTTTTCCCGTCCACAGGTTCCTCATTCCAATCGCTTATTCGTTAACGAGAAATCAAAAGCTTACTTTCTATACGCTTTCCTGTTAATCCCATTCGTAACAGGCCCTTGACCCTTAACCCGTCATACTGGGAAATCCCTTATGACGCATCAGCTTAACCAATAATTACATAAGGTCTACATTTCTATTAGTCAGGGGTCAAAATAATCCTAACCAGCAGAGTCCGCAGTAATTTCAGGAGCCCTAATCCTCATGCCCAACAATCCCATTTCCCTTCATCTCCACCCGTCGACTCGGCAGTAATAACAGGTTTCTTGGGGACAGATGTGTCATGTTAAGCTCAGCTAACTCCCCGCTCCTCCGCAGGAATTACAATTATTTTGGGGCACATGTGTCATGTTGCGCAACGCTAGGGATCATCCACCTCTCCCCTCCCCTCACACGCACAATTATTTAGTTCTGAAACTCTTTGACTGTATTGTCTTGTGTATTTTCTATTCTCTATTACTTTCCAGAACAATACCTGTCAGTTATTATAATTTGTTTTTCAGACGCTTTCTCAAGACAAAAAAGACAACCAACTGACAGAACAGTCCAGAGAAAACAACAAGGTACCAATATGCAGATGAACTTTATACCAACTGGCACTACTAGTAGTTTTTCTTTCCCTCGCCCGTGTGGGTTCCGATGGCCACACTACCCGCTAACAAGCATGTCCTAAAAGACGACTTATTAGGGGTTTGCTTAATTTGGATGTGTTGACCGAAAGGCGGGGTTATCGCAGCCTAGCTGTTAACTGCTTAACAGCGTGCAAACTGCCCTTTAAAAGGCGAACACAGAAGAAGAATTTCAGTATCAAGCAATTGTTATTGTAATTCGTTAATTACTTGGAACTTATTATAACTAATAAATGACTTAGTCTGGGGAATTATCATAATACTAATAGAGAGAAGATATGGCTCAAATAACTGAAATTAAAGTAGAGAGGATTAACTTCATGGATGAGGATAACCCGTGAAGAGGTCCCAGAAATCCCATTCAGCGTATCCCTTACAGGACGTTGCAGAACCAACCTCAACAGCCCCTGGCTGTTGTGTGGTTTTTCTAGGCAAATTTACGTCCAGTAGCATCCATTGCTTTCTGGACGGTTGGTTTTCTTGATACCATTGTTGAAACCAAAATAAAACGCAAGGTGCACAGCTGGGATCGAACCCGGCATCTCAGCATTACGAAGCGTTCGCATCGACTTAGCCACAGAGCCGACAGAAGCCAGGGTAGGGCTTCAAATAAAAATGGCATTCCACATGGGGACGACATACTAGCATTAAGAAAAATAATAATAAACCGCAGGCGCAATCACTCTAATTTCAGACTTGGCACATTGTCGTATTAAGTTGGTGTATGGTCCAATAATGAACTTGTAACAAACTTTAATTTTGTTTTTCTTCAGATAAGAATGGCTGATTTAAACCAAGTCGACCTTTTGTTAATCGGTAAAACTGGAAATGGAAAAAGTGCAACCGGAAACAGTATACTGAAACGTGAAGCTTTTGAAAGTGTATCTAGCTCTACATCTGTTACAATGCAGATCAAATATGAATTTTCGGAGTTCAGTGGTCGAATCATTAAAGTTGTCGATGGCCCAGGCATTGGAGACACTCGGCTGAACAAAGAGGATTCCATTAGGTTTACGATGGAAGCAATGGCTAAAGCAATTGCTATAAATCCCAGGGGTTACCATGCTTTTCTTCTTGTTGTGAGATTTGGTGGTAGATTCATCGAAGAGGATGTAGACACAATAGAATTTCTGAAGAAGACATTTGGCCAAGATTTCGTGGAAGATTTCTGTATATTAATCATGACATGTGGGGATAACTTTGAGCGCGAAAGCCGGAAGACGAAAAATCTTTTGCCCAGTGGTGTAATGAACAAGAAGGAGCGTTACAAAACCTGATGAAGGAATGCGATAACAGAGTCGTGTTATTTGACAGTCACTGAAGATGAGGAGAAGAAGAACAAACAGATTGCAAATCTTCTCCAAGTTGTAGACAACTTAAGATCCAGAGGTAGAAGATATACGGATGAAACTTTTGAAAATGTAAAAAAAAAAAGCACGAGATCGTTACATGGTTGAAAAAAAGAAATCCATCATTCAGGACGAGACCATTACAGAAACAAGCCTGATATTAGCGAGGTTTGGAGAAGTGCAGAAAATGACTGACTCGGGAGAAAAAATTGAGCTACTGAAAAAACTTCAAATGAGAGTTAAATCTCTACACAAATCAGTTTTGGATCAGGACCAAGACACTGGAGCTTTGCATGAGCTATGTGAAATTGTGAACATAATCAATAGTAGAATCATTGAACAAATCGGCCTTTGTAAAAGCAGGATGGACGAAAGACGGAATGCTAAACAACAAAAAGAAACTAACGAAAGGGCGATTGAACAATTGGAGTATAAGCATAAACAAGAGGAGGCAAAAATTAATCAAAATTATGGAGAACTGGTCAAAAATTATAACTGTGTGAAGGAAGAAAATGAATATGGAATCATGGATGTAATTCTTGATGTTGCAACGTTAGGACTTAGAAGCGCACTGGAGTGGCTAATCAAGTATGTTTCAAGTTAATTTGCTCTAAGCTAAAGTGCTCTTATTCTTCTACTAAACCACATCTATACAGTTTGAATATACTTTTATACTAAGTGACTGCCTGTCCATGATTCTCTTCTGTGCAAAAGGAATGACTCTAAAGAGCTCTTGGAAAACTATTCTAACCTTAGTTGACAAAAATAGATTGCACAAAGTATTTTTCCTTTTTTGAAATGTAATCTTTGCTCAATGGAGGGGTATATGCCTGGGAAGAGAGGAAGAGGAAGGCCAAGGAGAAGATGGGTGCAGGATGTGGCAGATGATCTCCAGATGGGTGTATCAGACGCAGGACATCTTGCTCAGGATAGGAAGGTTTTCCGGAGGGTTGTTATGGCAGCGAGGTTCCGCGAGGGACATGCTACTGAATGAATGAATGAACCTTTGCTAGGACAATTTTACATTTAACTTAGTGAATATATCTTCCATATAATGTTAGCAGGATATCCAAGTGCTTTAACCGACTTACTTCTTACTTGCTTCAGCACATTTACACGAAAGTTGTGTTATAGAAGGCATTTGTTTATAATAATAATAATAATAACACTTATGTTTTTTTTTTTTTTTGGGGGGGGGGGGGGGGGGGGGGTGTTCGCTGTTCAGGCTAAGACCTTTGAATATTTTATTATATCAAAGTAATCCCGACTTGCCCGGGTGTGCTTTGATACGCTTCTCAGCTAACGCTTCAATGTGTAGCAACTTACGAGACCACTTCTGCATGTGTGTTTTTGTCTTTGTTAAATTAATCTCTAGCGTCTGACACAGGATTCATGTCTGGCCTTACCCTTATTAACTTTCTATTGCTGTTGTTGTTGTTTCTGTTGTTGTTGTGTGGTCAGAAAAGCAGACATATGCGACGGAATAAGCGGGGCCTTGGTGCCTTGAGAAATTTGACGACTCAACTTTAGGGAGCAGACTGCAGCCAGCCTCCTATATATATATATATATATATATATATATATATATATATATATATATATATATATATATATATATATATATATATACCAGGACTGCACCTGGTACCCACTCAAGACTGGGTCGACCTGGGATAGAATATAGACTTGATCAGTAACTGTTAGATGGCGATCCATGATCTCTGACGTTTATTAGACTGACACCCGACGGTGATGTAGACGATGATAGTAATGACGTATACTAATTATAAGAAGTAAGTATTATAGGTTATGTCACACTGGATTAGACTAAACACATTTTTGGAATCTATGTGTCATTGGAGGGCAGGGAAATCAACTCCCATTGCCAGCGTGTACACAAAAACTTACATCGCTGAACTCCTTTTGTTTGAAGACTTTATCCTTATGTCATGAGTACAAATACTGAGGCTTGTATACTTCAAGATTATGTGACTGAGCAGTGTTTATTCAGCTTTCCAAATCTCTATCTGTATGCATTGTTGATCGGCGAGGCTGTGAGCTGGGGAGAATGTATCCTCGACTCAGTAATGATTAGCGGCTGTATTCTCATCAAGCGATAAGTCAGTAGTAAGACTGTTATATTGTAGAATAGATGATCAAATTTTAATCAGTACTGATTACATGTTTATGATAAATATATATTGGCCATCATGCGGATTGTCAGCTTATAAATATATGATAGAGACATGTTAGCTTCATACAGTAAAACCTCATTAACATAAATTTGTGGAAGAAGGATACTATTAATCCGAACAAAATACAGGTCTCAGTAAGGATGAATCATTGTTATTAGTCTCGTTAGCACGACTGTTTTTTACATGGGCTAAATTGTCTGTCCCTCCGAAAAGTCATCAACAAGGTTTTATTATAAATGTGTTAACACAGTCGGGGGGGGGGGGGGGGCGTGTTAGGGGGTCAGGGTTCAATGAACACTGGACATGCAGTTCCAACTCATCATTTATTGTATCAACAATCCTAATTTATGTCTACTGATTGTTGTCCTGAGAAGTTGGTAATAACGTTTCACGTCAATAGCTCGAATATGCCATTTACATATTTCAGCAGTCTTTACACGCAGGTCACGTTATCTTATTGGCGCTATACTTGTTATTTTTTGTCTAATATCAGCGTGCATCTCAGTGTGGGACGCAATATTTTTATTGTTTTAAAGCCCCACCCTGGCTTTTGCCGTGCGTCTAATATAATCCAACTTATGGGTTGAACGGGGTTCCTGTGACTTTTTCTCATCCAAGTGTTTATCGCTCAGTGTGATATCCTGGTGAGGTTCAAAGCCATCATCACCATTGTCATTATTCACCATTATAGATAGTGCAGCTTTCATGAAAACAGCTGTGTCCGTGTTTCTTCACATACGCAATGGTTAAATTATGTCATGTGATAGCAATCAGAGAGCTAGAACTAAAAGCGTCCATATTATTTAAAATCTATGAGAACCTTTGTGTTTGCCCTCAGTACAAAGATGCCAGACTGGTATGTCAAACTGTAATATTCCCATGTCAATAACGTGGCTTGTAGCAGGTAGATTGTCTCATAACCTCTCACTGATCAATAATAACCATGCAACTTACGTGGTGTTATTATATGTATGTATCTTAAGGTGAAGAAGAAGTGTAGGGATTCATATCAAAAGTAAATGTCCGGCGATTCTTGCCATATTAGACTGCTGCTTAGAAAGATGATTTGTAGAAGAATGAAGAGGCATGTGTCGACAATCAAAAGGATGAAGGCACGACGTTGGCAACACTGTGAGTTAGGAAGGAAGAACGTATATCCTTTGATGCATCTGCTTTGAGAACAGAAGTAGAGGCAGTCATAGCTTTTCCTTAGATGAATGCCATATGTTCTCAGATATTGTGATTATATCAGACTCACAAAGTATGTTAAGAGAAGTGGAGACAGACCTGCTGTGTTCAGAGGGGCATGTTTCATTTCGAGAGTATTAAACGTCCTCCGACTGTTTCTCTGAGAGCATCCTGGTAGGCTGGCTTATGAAATGACAGACCGATTCTTCATCATATGGTGGTGTGAATGGATGCATGACAAGGTAATTGTTGTGAAAACCCTTTGGAAGCATGTAAACAACCAAGAGCGAATAGATCACGGCCGCTGGAAATGCTGTAGCAAAATCAGAAGTGACATCAAGATCTGACAGACACGTGACGCTCAAGAAGAAAGGATAACGAACACATAGTCTGACTACACTAGGCACTTTTAGTACAGTAACTATCTGCTGACTACAAAAGAGTTTATGAAAATGCCTGTACTGCAATGATATCGATTCTTATCATTTCTCACTCAGTTAAATGACGGACATCGTTTAACTGACTGACATCATTTACCTGACTGACATCATTTAACTGACATCATTTACCTGACTGGCTTAATTTAACTCAATGCCATCATTTATCTGGCTGTCATCATTTACCTAACTGACATCATTTACCTGACTGACATCATTTACCTGACTGACATCATTTACCTGACTGACATCATTTACCTGACTGACATCATTTACCTGACTGACATCATTTACCTGACTGACATCATTTACCTGACTTATATCGTTTTATTTGACTGAAATAATTTAACTGACTGACATCATTTACCTGACTGACATCATTTAGCTGACTGACATCATTTACCTGACTGACATCATTTACCCGACGGATATCATTTAACTGACTGACATCATTCAACTGACTGGTATCATTTAACTGACTGACATCATTTAACTGACTGGCATCATTTAACTGACTGACATCATTTAACTGACTGACATCATTTAACTGACTGGCATCATTTAACATACAAACATCAATTAACTGTCTGACATCTTTTACCTGACTGTCATAATTTAACTGACTGATATCATTTACCTGACTGACATCATTTAACTGACTGGCATCATTTAACATACAAACATCAATTAACTGTCTATCTTTTACCTGACTGTCATCATTTAACTGACTGATATCATTTACCTGACTAACATCATTTAACTGATTGATATCTTTTAACTGACTGACATTATTAAACTGATATTATTTACCCGACTGACATCATTTATCAGACTTACATCATTTAACTGACTGACATCATTTAAGTGACTGACATCATTTAACTGATATTATTTACCCGACTGGCATCATTTATCTGACTGACATCATTTAACTGACTGACATCATTTAAGTGAATGACATCATTTAACTGACTTACATCATTTAACTGACTGATTTCATTTAACTGACTGACATCATTTACCTGACTGACATCATTTCATTGACTGTCATCATTTCATTGACTGTCATCATTTCATTGACTGACATCATTTAACTGACTGACATCATTTAACTGACTGGCATCATTTACCTGCATCTTCATGTTCCAGTTGTCATTTTAAATAATTTTGCAATTGCATATATACTTATATTGATATTTGTATGTGGAAAAAATATCCTAGGCATTTTTGATTGTTTTGGATTATAGAGAAATTTTTTTCAATGTTCTATTATATATATATATATATATATATATATATATATATATATATATATATATATATATATATATATATATATATATATATAATATTTTCTAGAAGTTATTGATTTCACTGGCTGTGGGGAAACACAAATATATATATATGAAAATTATTTTTGTAGACGTGTTTGCTTTATCTGCTTATGAGGAAATATAAATACGTATATTTATATTGTGTTTCGGTATTGTGGTTTATTTAGAAACATGTGTATTTGTGTTAACGGTGATAAACAGTCTGCCTAGCTGATCGAAAATTCAAGGTTTGAATTCTAATTCGCAGGGTAATCGCTAGAGCTACGGAGTTTTCTTTGTGCAAAGTTCTCGTTGCGGACTAGCAGCTCTTTGCAGAAAAAGCGAACCTATACAGGATACAATCCAGCGAAAAGCTGTTGATTATGTCTTTAAAATTTTTTTATTAAATAAAAATGAATTAGAAGTACCAGCAGCTTTCCATAAAACATAATCGTGAATACTAAATGAAAG